CCATAAAGCACTTACATTTAGTTGTTTACAGCCTGGTTAAGATTATATAACTACCAAAAGCCTTCTATTCCAAAACAAGGAGGTTCCCTTGCTATAAAAAAGGAAACAACACGCAAAAGGGCTGTCAATTAAGAGACCAATTTCTATGGGCAACAAATTGTCTCATGCAGATTCGTGCAAGAATGAATAAAGAATCTGTGGTTGTTATAAAAATCCCTGCTAGATGCCCTTTAACAACCAATGGACGTGATTCAGATTGCCACGAGAAAGGACACAGTGCTGTTAACAAGCCTGCATGCTGGCCCTTCAGGAAGCTCTTACAATGCAGACCTAGTCAAAGCAGAATTTATCATGTATAATAGATAAAAGTAATAGAAGAGCCTGCTGAGCTTTCTTGCTGTACACTAATGCTCTGTGCTATGCTAAAAGGGCCTCCAAACTAGGAGAGGAGTATGAAGAAAACGAAGCAGGGAATTTATGATGATCTCCTGGTGACAGCCCACCGAGTCCCCAAGGATCGTAAGTCAGACACATGATCACATCTCCTCCTTTCAAAGGTTGCTTCGAACATCTAAATAACACTGTCAGCATAGTGGAGGGATCTGTCTGTCAGGCAGCCTTAGCTACTGTTCCCGATTGGTGCTCACTCTGCCATGGAAATACGCCTTTCATAATCTGTTAGCAATGTTTTCTGGGCCAATGCTTTGTACCGTAATATACTTGGAGTTCTAGGACTTAATGGAGAAGAAGCTGGCCTTGTAGAGTAAACAGACCCAAGATCTGATTTTTCCTTCCTTCAAGGCAAGAAGAAAAAAAAGTCCTTAGCTGTTAGAATTACATTGCATTGTTTCATTAGCAACAACTGCCTGGCTGCAGAATTCTCACTGTGTAAAAGCAACATACTCCTATCTAAGGGTGCATCCACACTGTAGAATTAATGCAATTTGATCCCAGTTTAACTGTCATGGCTCTTTGCTATGGAATCATGGGAATTGTATCTTTACAAGGTCTTTAGCCTTCCCTGCCAAATAATACTCACCAAACTACAGGTTCCATGAATCCACAGTAAACAGCCATGGAAGTTAAAGTGGTGCCCAACAACATTAACTCTATGGTGTAGATCTATCTTATGCATGAGGATTATTATCCCCATCTGTATTCCCACATAAAATCATTCTAGATATTTGTCTTACGTCTAGAACACAGATAGAAATAGTGCTGTTAACCTCAATTCTATGGCCCCTCTGAGTTCTCACCCACCAATCCCATACAGCCCCTCAATCCACAAATATTAAAATATTTTAAAATTATTTTTGGGCAATTTTTTACCCCACAATCATATAGAATGCTTGCCACATTCATGGAAGCATGCAAAGATATCTTCACACCCACCAAATACAAATAGAACTGTGTACTACCCCAAACATCTGGGGGTTTTTTCTGCAATCTCTCTCAAAATGGAAGCAACACAAATGAGATTCTGGATATGAAGGCAAGAGGCATGTTTAATTCTTATTCTATAAGGAATGCACTGAGGTATTTGACTTAGTTTGATGGGAAGAAGTAGAAGATAGTATGAACTTTGACACGGGTCAGTGAACATGGCAAGACATCTGGCCCTTGTTTGATTAAAGGCTTGTTTGGATCCATTCTCATCAATCTTCCTCTGGCTCTTGTAATGTATTGCTACAAAATTGCTTGGTCTACAACCAAATAACTAATGGTTATAACACATTTCTGAGAGGAATTGCAAAGTAATTTTTTGGATTTTTGGAAGTGGCGGTTCATAGGGTGAGATATTGGCACCTGATCCCCAAATAGTTCCTCATCCCTGTCCTATAGACAAAATGGATCCTCTAAACCGGTGGTTCTCAACCTGTGGGTCCCCAGGTGTTTTGGCCTACAACTCCCAGAAATCCCAGCCAGTTTACCAGCTGTTAGGATTTCTGGGAGTTAAAGGCCAAAACATCTGGGGACCCACAGGTTGAGAATCACCGCTCTAAGACTACATTTACAGATTGCCACCACCACCAACACTGCAGAACTGAAAAGAATTCCCACAGAAAGTGGATTTCCCCACTCCTGGCTGCTCCAAGCAGCTGTAGTTCAGGGAAGAGAAAGCTGCAAACTCATGTACCCACCCACAAAACAAAATAACAAAACCAGAAGTGAACCAAGCCTATAGTGGAGGGGGGGGGGGTAGGGGTTCAACACTAGTACTTCAAGCACTATTTCAACCACATTTTGACAGTTTATTCACACTGTCATTATTACCTACCTTCCCACCAATTTACATTGCAATAGAAGCAATAGCCAATATAGTGGAAGCAACTGTTGGCCCACCTGCAACTGGCAAGCAAAGCCTAAGGCAAAGGGAGAGTTTGATGGCCCTCATGAGGGAGACCAGACGGTGGGGGCGATTTGTGTTGGAGCTGCAGGCTATTTTAGGCTGCTCTCTCCTGGTGCTGTGCTCTTTGTTTCAGCTTAAGATAGGAGCCATGTACTTAATGGGGAATTAGGAGTTTCCCTCCTTGCTTCCCCCCCCCCCTCCCATCTTCCAGAGAAAAATAGGATTCCCACTGCTATGCCTTTACCCCAGGGATCCACCCTACAATTTGGGCAGTTTCTGCCCTTGGCATTTATTGGCAGGGATTTCCCAGCAGAGCATAAGGGCTGGAGGTTTGGATGGCTGCACTAAGCAGAGTTCCCCTTCTCACCTGGCAGCATCTAGACCTCCAAGGAAGGCACATTCTGCCTCAAGGAAGGCACATTCTGTAGCACAGTGGTTCTCAACCTGGGGTCCCCAGATGTTTTTTTGCCTTCAACTCCCAGAAATCCTAGCCAGTTTACCAGCTTTTAAGATTTCTGGGAGTTGAAGGCCAAAAACATCTGGGTACCCCAGGTTGAGAAACACTGCAATGAGGAAGTATTTCAGGGCTGTGCTTTTGTCTTATGCCAAGCCTCATCCATTTGGGCTATTGTAATCCCAAAAAACTTAAGTTAAAATACAAGTCATGATGTTTTCAGGTATACAACAACGATGATCATTTGTACTTGCTTTAAAAGTTTATACTTTAATTTTTCAAAAACAAAATCCTCCCAATTTTTTCTCTGGCTACGGCCCTGCTCTGGACAATTCCAACTTTGATATATTTTTTTCAACCAAAAATCTCCAGTATGTAGCTCATAGCAAGTTCTGGAGACAAGTATTGGAAATTTGTTTATCCCTTCCCTAGAGCAGTTTTCAAGGACATGGGAGACCAGCAAACAATGGAAATTTGACCACACATACTCCTGTGTGAGCCTAACCTTTCCCAGGCCATAATATAATGACCCATTCACACTACACAGTTATAGCTCTACACCTCCTGTTTAATTGTCATGGCAATAGACTGTGCAATCCCGTGACTGGTAGTTTAGAGAGGCCCACTTAGAATTTTCTGCCAGAGAATGCTTTCTGTGCTACAGAACTTCAGAATTCATAGTATCCCATAGCAAAGTGGGAAAATAGTGCTGTATGTATATTGTGAGAACTAGCTCCATGACTCTGCCTTAAACTAGAACATGCTTACACATGACATGTTTCTAACCTGACACAGAGTACAAATAAATAACACATTGCTCTCTTTATAGAATCATAGAGTTGGAAGAGACCTCATGGGCCATCCAGTCCAACCCCCTGCCAAGAAGCATATATGTCTATGGCATATATTTTTATATTGCAGTAAATAAAGGGAAGTGATAGTGATGAGGCCTCTGGCAATTTTGGGCTATGCTGCCTGTGTCTAAGAGGTGAGAAATGCAGAAAATGTCCAGCAGCTTACACAATACAGTGGAACTCCCTGCCAAAGGAAGTTAAACAAGTCTCATCTCTTCTAAGCTTCTGGCGGGCAGCTATTCTGCATGGCATTCAATGTTTGAAATTGTTACTTCAACTTTTCTACTTTAGATTCTAGAAATGCTTTAAACTGTATTTAGGAGTTTTTCAAGAATATTTAAAATGTTTTTAAGATATTGTTTTATTTATTGCCTCAGGACTTTTAATAGGCTGGGAGGTGATCAGAAATGCTTTAAATAAAATAAATTGAGTCTTCATTATGGTGTATGTGTTACTTTCTGAGCTCCTCTTATTAGCCCAAAAGCAAGCTGCTCTCCAGCAGAATACACCTAGACTTCTTCACTTGTGTTCTGGAAGTGCTTCTTCACAAAATCAGTGAATGAATACAAGTGAAGCTATATGCAAAAGTATAGACATAACGCTTCCTAAGTGAGAATTACAATTGGCCCAGGACATGCCCAGAGTGGACTGCAGAACTGCCAAAAATGGAGATGAAAGAAATGGCATTGCATTTATAAGTAATGACAATGTTTCTCTTCATCCCCATTCAGAACAGGTGAGTAGGTGACATATGGGCTATGCAAGGAACATACCATAAACATATAGTACTTCTATATTTCTACACTGGTTATCATTTTAATTTAAATTCCATGCACATAACATAGACTCATCTTGCATAAATTTCTGCTAATTTTTAACCTAGTGATAGGAAAATAAACACACAGCCAAATGAAAATGTTTTTCAACTGCTCACATATTTTAGTACTCTGTTTCTCCATTTTGCATTTTTAAAAAGCAATCAAAACTACATTTCCAATTTGACAAGCAACTTTTTGAAGATTAGATATGCAATCAATATTCTCATGTGGGTCAACTGAAGGCCACAAACCTGCAGCTGAATTTTCTAAAAAAAGAAATCCTAGATTGCTGGTCAGCGAAACTTTTGACCCCAACTTCTATTAGTGTCAGCGTTTTGCTAACCATCCTATTTTCACATTTCAGGTTATTTATGTGACACACAATGTGCAGCTTGGTTGTAGCATAAATGCTAGCCTTAATATCCAAGATATAAACTCCTTTGGCCACTGCCAATAATTGAAAAAAGGAAATGTTCGAAGTCTTTGGTAAAAATTAATTCAATTGATAAAAAATATTTACTTACCAACTATTGCTAGATTATGTTCTGAACCACATGCAATCTGGAGGAGAAACAAGAATGAATATGAGATGAGCTATGCAATGTTGTTAACATCAATATAATTTATAATGGTATGTTAGAAACAGTTTGGGTATTTGAAATGTATATCTATGTCCTGCCCAAAACAAACTACCATTGAAAGATTATCTATATCTGTCTTATGTACTCATGTATAAACTGATCTCATGTGAAAGGCTAGGGCAGATTTTGAAGCCAAAATTTCTTTTTCACTTGCTTTCACACATAACCAAATCCTTACATGAGAAATTGTAAAAAAAAAAAAAAAACACTTTTGCAAGTACCCACATTTACAAAACTGCAACAGTCCCTTGCAAATTTACCAGCTTGCTTACAAAAACATCCCAAAATGAGCATATTACACCTTAGGGCCGTAGCCAGAAAAAAATGGGGGGGGGGGTTGAAACTTCTTTTAGCAAATCATGAAGAGTAGTTCAATAACACAACAACAACATTTTTAATACAGTCCAAAGCCCCTTATTGCTCTGTAAAAGGTATAAGATACAAGTTATGCAAGGTTAGTAAGGCCAAAAATAGCCAAAAAGTAGTTGTTTTTTAACCTGAAAATTTGGGGGGGGGGGGGTTGAACCCCTAACCCACCCACCCCTGGCTACAGGCCTGTTACACTTATACCACGTCATTCCGTTGATTGCCAATTAGTTTCCAGGCAAAGTACAAAGTGCTGGTTTTGACCTTTAAAACCCTACATGATTTGGGTCCAGGTTACGTACAGGATTATCTTCTGTACAATCACCCCCAAACACTTATTTCCTCTGGGGGATGGTTCTTCCAGCCAGTCAAAACTCGATTGGGAGACTGTCACCCAGAGGACCTTTTCACTGGCTGCCCCAAGACTGTGGAATGACCTGCCAGAAGAGCTCTGACAGCTAAATCAGTGGTCAAAATTCAAGACACAAATTGAAGGCTTATCTCTTCTAGCAGGCCTACCCAGTCAATACATTTTAACTTTACGTTTTATTAGTATTACTATTAATCTTCACTCTGTGTATTTTAATACAGAGTATCCCAAATGTCTCCATACATACATAGGAAAAATTAACAAACTCATATTTTATATTTTATGTTTTAATATTTTAACATTTATATTTTTATACTTTCAGATATAAAACAAGTAGTAAATATTTTGTGAAGTAATGACTATTTTATAAATAAAGGTACATTTAGCTACCATTTCCCATCTTCCCTATATATGGCAACGTGTGATACACTGTCTATGTATTTTAATTGTATTGTAATTTAACTGTATGCTTTAATTGTGTTGTACCCCACCTTGAGCCATGAAGAGAGGTGGGTAACAAATAAAATTTATTATCATTGTTGTTATTGTGAGGATGAGGATGGAAACTCTGTACAAGTGTCAAATGCATGCAAAAATCACACATCTTAGCACTGGTCTGGTATGGCCCTGTGTACCTATATAATGTGCAAACCATATTCATAAAACTGTCCAGCCCTGATCTTCCTGGCTCCCAAAATGCTAACAACCTGCTTCTAGTTACAGAGATGGAAACCCTAAGCTAATCAGAAAAAAATGCAATCAAACTGCAATCAATGGCTGTAAAGAAAGGGCCCTTTAACTAGCTCAAGTGCAACAATCAGGGGTATTGATAAGCAATTGATCCAGGCAATCAGGCAATAAGTGCTGCAATCAAGACTATTGATATAAGTATCAAACTATGTGACGAAATCTATGTATTTAATGCAATGCTGGCATCCCAGAAAGAAATAAAAACTATGTTTAACACAAAAGCCAAAAAGGGAAAAGGAAGCATCGACACCGCATTAAAAAGGAAACTATGCTTAAAATTGAGAGGTGTCGTTAGTATTCAGTGCCAATTCACAACAGAAAGATTCATATTTGCTTTACTTCGTAAGAAGTACTAGCTTTAAAAAAAAAAAAGAAACACAGCACGACAATATGCCATGATACCGTATTCTACGTAACAGAACCAAGGACCTTTTCAACCTGAACTTCAATCAATGGAGCTACCGAGACATGAAGTTGTGAAAACTACACTAATTCTTTCAGAGATCATGTTTATGTGCATTGCTTTCACAAAAAGGGTTCACATCACCAAATCTAAACAAGCCCCACTTGCACCTCTCCAATTTACCTAAGAGAATCTGTAAATATGCAAAAATATTCTCCCTGCACAGCTTAAAGGATTGAAAGGAGAAAAGGTGTGGTATTAGAAATCTTTGAATTTCCTGGACAATATCTGCATTTTCACAAAATATAACAGAAGAGAAAAGTAGCAAATAAGGAAGAAAAAATGAATGAGGGCTACAGGAGAAATGGAACGAGGGAGGGAGAACAGACAGTGTGGAGGTTGATTAAAGGGCAGATGAAACCAGCAAGGGAGGTTGATATGCGAGATCCCATCTCAAAGGGTCCTTTGAATAAAAACTTCAAAAGCAGAGCTAAAATCACCGCCCCACCCCATCATGATGAGTGAAAAGGTGTGAGCAGAAGATGGTTATTTCCCAGTCAGTCTCACACACAACCATATACACAGGCAGCAATACCCTAGTTATGGAATCAATACATTTTCAACAGACACATAAAGCTTAAATAGTGCTCATTTGGGGATATATGCTGGCTACTTACACTGGGTTATAATACAATAGATGCCTTTCCTTCAGAGAAAAAATACTTGGCTGGGCTGATCTCCCTTTTTCACCTTTAATACTCCCATAGAACATTATCTTTAGAAGCTTCTCAGTGCCTGTGTAATCGATAAGAGTTCACATTTTTAAAAGGAAGTCTGTGTTATTTATGTCTCTTATGGGTCATAGTTACGAGCAGAGTGGCAGTATGAATGTTATGAAGGTTAGATGCCTCTTAGGAATACAAAACATCACTTGAAGAGTTTTGGAGAGAGCAATCTTATGCATGTTTTTAACTCTTAAGAAACCCAGTTTTGCAAATGTATTGACTAAAAGGTAAAGGTTTTCCCCTGACATTAAGTCCAGTCATGTCTGACTCTGGGGGTTGGTATTCCCCTCCATAGACACCATCAAGGTAATGTGGCCGGCATGACTACATGGAGCACCATTACCTTCCCGCCAAAGTGATACCTATTTATCTACTCACATTTGCATGTTTTTGAACTGCTAGGTTGGCAGAAGCTGGGGCTAACAGCAGGAGTTCATCCTACTCCCCAGATTTGAACCACTGACCTTTCGATCAGCAGCTCAGCAGTTTAACACGCTGCACCACCAGGTGCTCCAAAAACTGAAATCAAAGGTGATAGTTTTCCAATGTTTCAGAGTGGGGCTGGTTGTGAAATGTATTTAATTTTATTTATTTGGCCTTTCCATCCCAACACATAGTTACAGAAGAAAGGAGCTTCTATTTCTGGAAGCAAAAAGATACCAAGGAGAAAGCTAGAAAAGGGACAATTTTCCAGCAGAATTTCCTTGTTCTCTGCACTCCACCTCAGTCCTTTCACTTCACTCATAGGACCGAGAAACAGATGACTCCACTCTCTTCGGCCACTGTCCTCCCACTAGGATGTGGGATTGGGTAGTCAGTGGTAAAGTACAATGGCTTGTAAGCAAAATACCTCAAGATCAGTGCTGGCAAAGTCAGCTAACAGAGTTGCCAAGTCCGTTTCATCCAAGGCCCTGAAATTTTAAGCCCAAAACCTGAGATAAAGGGATAGTCCTTGTGATGTCATGAAACTCCCTTGGTGCTATCAGAGGTAACAGGCCGTAGTGATATCATTAAACATAATACATTAAGCATCAACTACAGTGACATAGAGTATGCTGCTCAAAGAAAAAGCATCAAATCTAACAAATGAGATATCAACTCCCCCTCCCACCCTTTTGATACACACACACAAACACACAAACACACACACCAACTGGACTATCATACTTTGGTCATTCGTGATAACAGGGGATTCAGTACAGCTCAGTAACAGTTGATACAGCTTCGTAATGTGGGAGGCAATTGGAAAGATAAATGGATTGACTCAATCAAGGATGCCATGGACCTGAGTTTGCAGAATATGATCAGGTCTTTCTCATTCATAACGTTGCTATAAGACAAAGCTAACTCCAACTGCAATTAACCACTAAAATACACACCTATATTTTTTTCAAGGCAGTGGTCTCATTCTGGGATTCCTTTCTCTTGCTGTGAGGACTGGAGAAGAATCACCAAGTCCTGTCATCTAGGAAAGCTTGGTGAGAAAGAACTTGTCTGAAACTCTAGGCAGCTGGGGCAGATAGTGCTGCCTTGCATATATCAATGGCCTGAATGAAGCTTAGTGATATATCTATACCTTAAGAGAGGTATGTATTCTCTGTTATAAACGTATAACAGTATTTTCTCTTAGATGTGTCCATCAAGACTTGCAACCTAAGCCCATGTTTAACTTTTGAACAAACATGTTAAATGCAATTTCCATTAACTAGGGCAATCCTAGATATGACAAACAAACATCTTTCCAAAACTTAAGGTAAAACCTCTTCTAAAAACATGTGAAATGTATAATCCAGTTTAGTAGCTTCCTATATAACAATTTCCTGAATTAATTTTCATCTAGCGTTTTAGTTCCACTCTCAAGCCACTTGTTCATTTCTAAGCTCTCTGTACTCTGCACAGTTGCATTATCTATGTGCTGCTGTTGTTGTTGTTGACGTTTGTTGTTCCAGAATAGTTCTGAAAACACTTTTAAAGATTCTGCATGTCAGACTAGCTACAATGAAATGGTAATGACCACTTGAAAATGCAGTTGTCTGAAAGCAATGCAGCTTTGGTGACTGTTTCAATGAACATTTATTATTTATTTTTGAAGTTCTTCATCCAGAAGGGACTCTCCACACCAACGCAGTTGGTGGGGAGAGCGATTTGCCCCACCCCCTGAAGGGAGAGAATGGGAGGTTCCATTTAGAACCTCCTGGAAGAGGGGCGGGGGCTGGCTCAACACGTGAGCCAGCCTCTTACCTTCA